CGGGCGTGGTAGTGCGTGCCTGTAGTTCCAGCTACTTGGAAGGCTGAGGCGGAAGGATCTCTGGAGCCCAGCAGGTCGAGGCTGTGGTGACCACTGCACTCCAGTCTGGGTGACAGAGTGAGACTCCAACTCAAAAGGAAATAAAATGAAATAAAATAAGGTATATTTGAAATGAACTATTACCTTGAAATGTAGTTTCAAACGTTTTTAATGGTTCAAGGAGATGAAGTTGAATTTTACTGACACTTCATAGTCCAATGGAACTGATGTTCGGAATCAAGCCCTCCAATAACTTCTTTTCCACTTTGAAAATGTGTCTTGTCATCCACGGAAGCTGGTGACTATTTGAATGCTTTTGGCAGGCTTAAGATCTGGGAGCTTGATCTCTTGTCCTCTTTGCTTTTCTTGTATCCACGTTGTGAAAGTCGTCTGCATGCCACCCAAGTACATGCTATTAGAATCAGCTTTATAACGTTTGTTTCCTTTCTTGTTTTTGGGATTAGGGATTTCTACAGAAATCTGCATGCCAATTAACTCATTTCCAAAGCAGAATCCATTTTGCATGTCACAGTCAAGATGTACATCACAATCTAAAACACTGGGTGATCGTAAGGAGTTGATGTAGAGCTGTTCTTAATTATGGTAACATTTCTAAGACAACAGTTTTGAAGCAGTTTTTGTCTGTTGTACAGTGGCTAATATAAGAATGAGAAGTATTGCCTTTTAAATTAACTGTAAAATTGCCTTAATTTGTCTAAAAGGCTAGCAAGTGAGGCCTTTGAGGATGATCATATATTAATAAAATTTATAAAAATAAAATTCTTATCCTATTAGGCCAGTGTTATGCTTTAATAGTTTTTAATTACTTAATAACCAATTTTCAGAATTGAAGATTTAAAAAAATATTTTCTAGCATTCTAGTCAGTGGCATTTGTTATGGGTTTATGTATAACTATGGGATTTTGGAGCAAATATTTTTAAGGATGGTCAATGGTATTTAAGTCTTTTGGATGTCAAAGTAAGAGAAAATTTATAACTATATTCTTTAAAAGAATTTAGCACACTGAAAATTGAGTAAGTGCTTACAGAGTGGATTAGTTTGACTCACTCATGGTTTGTTAGTCTGGATGACTAGATTGTTGAATACATTGATTTTAATGTGAATTCCCACTAATAACATCGGTAAGTACGTATGAAAATATTGTTTTGAAAATTTAGAGGATGTAACTGGAAACTATTCATGTGTTTTTCTTAACAGGTTTGGTGTGTCTAGTTTTGAAGGCTCTGGCAGGTACATCGTGGAAAGACCGCGCTGAGCCGTAGGTTCCGTCAAACCCTGTCAGTGCTTATTAGCATGTGACTGTGTTGTTAGGTGCATTTTAAAGAGTGTAAGGACTAATGATAAAGTCTAGTGTTGTGCATAGTAAGATTTTGGGAGATATTTAAGGCACCCCCCCAGGTTTTCCTTTTATAAATATGCCTTCTGTGCATATATATGTGAAGAGTCAGTGTATCATTTACTGCTGGGAAGGATTAAAAAGGCACTGATTTTTTCTGATGTCTGATAGAATTTTCCAGTACCAACTTACCTGGCTTTTCATTATTGTCACAAAAAAATCTCCTAGCCTGGCAACTTTGGCAAGACCTCGTCTCTACAGTAAAAAAAAAAAAAAAAAATTAGCCTGGTGTGGCACGCACCTATAGCTCCAGCTACTTGAAAGGCTGAGGCGGAAGGATCGCTGGAGCCCAGCAGGTCAAAGCTGCAGTGGCCGGGAGCGTGCCACTGCACTCCAGCCTGGACGACAGAGTGAGACTCCACCTCAAAAAAAAAAAAGTTCCAACTCCTTAAGGTTTTGGATAAGTGTAAATATTTTGTATATAAAATTTAAAAATCATAAAAAGGAATAAATGCATTGTATTATGAGATTGATAGGAACATTAGCAGTTAACTGCCACCCAATATTGGGTTTACTGAAAAGCAGGAAATGCATGGCAATAGCATCCCTTTTATGTTGATATCAGTAGACCTTGTAGTAGGAGTACCTAAAGAGTAGGTGGAAATCTTATGTATTTATTTTTTGAGTTGGAATCTCACTCTGTTGCCGAGGCTGGAGTGCAGTG